CGACCTTGTATGCTGGATTGCATTATTTCACTTTATTAAGGGGAGAGGGTGCCTTCACACACATATTCGGTGTGAAATATCTTCCGCCCCCCAGCGGAGCGTTTCGGCGCCTCTGCGAAGAAAAGCGCGGCATTCAAAAACAACAACCAAAGTTGCCGTCGCTTCCCTGCCCTGCAATGGCTGGAGCAGAAGGAGAGAGAATTTAGTCTCATTGGATCAGAGGAATGGCAGTGGAGCGGGCTTATGGCGAGTAGGCTCGCGCTCTATCAATTACACTTGCCAGGTCCATCTTCCGTTTGGACATTATTTACTCCGTCTCTCTCTCGGCGCACACATCGCCACCCTACTAGTTTCCGTCACAGCATATGCTGCGGCCTTTCAGTCGGGAACGGGGCTCCCCTTCGCCTTGCTGTCTGCCCAACTTAGCGGACTTGCGTTGGCTGATCACCCCGTCTTCGCGTCTGTGCCGGCCTTCAATGCAGTGCCCAACCGTCTCTTGACCGAGATTCATTGCACTATTCCACGCGCAAACAGCTACCCTAAATGTGCATAGACAACGCTCATGGTTCAACACGACCAGGGTGCAGTCTGGGAGCCGAGTATACTAAAAAGAGAGTTTAGCAGCCAAAACTCGTCAAAGCACACGTTGGGTTACCCCATCACCTAACAACGATGATGGCGGTTCCCACCCGTGAAATACACAACCTAACCAATATTGGGCGACGATGGCGCTCATGAGCCCACGTCCCCACAAACAGTAAGAGAAAGAGAGAGAGGAGGAGATTGGCCAATGTGCGGTCCCTCGCCCAATGTCTTATGCCTCGCTGGGGCAAAGAGAAGAGAAGAGGAGCGGATAAGGGAGGAGATTGGCCAACGTGCGGTCCCTCGCCCAATGTCGGCTGCCTCGCTGGAGCTGGGTAAAGAGGAGAGGAGCGGATAAGGGAGGAGATTGGCACACACGGTGGCGCTGCCGGCGCCGAGGATAGCAAGAGAAGGTGCAGTTTGATCTGATCATCTGGTTTGCTATTTCTCTAAGGCCAACGTGCGGTCCCTCGCCCAATGTCGGCTGCCTCGCTGGGGCAAAGAGAAGAGGAGAGGATAAGGGAGGAGATTGGCACACACGGTGGCGCTGCCGGCGCCGAGGATAGCGAGAGAAGGTGCAGTTTGATCTGATCATCTGGTTTGCTATTTCTCTAAGGCCAACGTGCGGTCCCTCGCCCAATGTCTTCTGCCTCGCTGGGGCAAAGAGAAGAGAAGAGGAGCGGATAAGGGAGGAGATTCGCCAACGTGCGGTCCCTCGCCCAATGTCGGCTGCCTCGCTGGAGCTGGGGCAAAGAGGAGCGGATAGGGGAGGAGATTGGCACACACGGTGGCGCTGCCGGCGCCGAGGATAGCAAGAGAAGGTGCAGTTAGATCTGATCATCTGGTTTGCTATTTCTCTAAGGCCAACGTGCGGTCCCTCGCCCAATGTCTTCTGCCTCTCTCTCAATCTCACTATTTTGGCCGCCGTGATAGGCGCCGCCAACAGCAGCAGCTACCTGGTTGATCCTGCCAGTAGTCATATGCTTGTCTCAAAGATTAAGCCATGCATGTGTAAGTACAAGCCGATTTAAGGCGAAACCGCGAATGGCTCATTAAATCAGCTATGTTTCATTGGATCTGTAAACCCACTTACTTGGATAACTGTGGCAATTCTAGAGCTAATACATGCAATTGGTCTCTGACCGCAAGGGAAGAGCGCTTTTATTAGTTCAAAACTGGTCGGGCCCCGGTCCGTAACCCACCTGTGGTGAATCTGAATAACTTCGGGCTGAGCGCACGGTCTCCGCACCGGCGCCGCTTCTTTCAAGTGTCTGCCTTATCAGCTTTCGATTGTAGGTTATGCGCCTACAATGGCTATAACGGGTAACGGGGAATCAGGGTTCGATTCCGGAGAGGGAGCCTGAGAAACGGCTACCACATCTAAGGAAGGCAGCAGGCACGCAAATTACCCACTCCCGGCACGGGGAGGTAGTGACGAAAAATAACGATGTGAGTCTCATCCGAGGCCTCGCAATCGGAATGAGTACACTTTAAATCCTTTAACAGTATCCATTGGAGGGCAAGTCTGGTGCCAGCAGCGCGGTAATTCCAGCTCAATAGCGTATATTAAAGTTGTTGCGGTTAAAAAGCTCGTAGTTGGATCTCAGTTCCGGACTGCGGTGCACCGCCGGTGTTTACTGTCACGCTCGAACAACCGCCCGCCCGGCTCGCCGAGGATGCTCTTTGTCGAGTGTCGAGTGGCGGAAGTTTACTTTGAAAAAAATTAGAGTGCTCAGAGCAGGCTATTTGAATGGCCGAATGGTGATGCATGGAATAATGGAATAGGACCTCGGTTCTATTTTGTTGGTTTTCGGAACCAGAGGTAATGACTAATCGGAACAGGGGGGCATTCGTATTGCGACTAGAGGTGAAATTCTTGGACCGTCGCAAGGACGAACTACTGCAGCATTGCCAGGATGTTTTCATTAATCAAGAACGAAAGTTAGAGGTTCGAAGGCGATCAGATACCGCCCTAGTTCTAACCATAAACGATGCCAACTAGCGATCCGCCGGCGTTATTCCCATGACCCGGCGGGCAGCTTCGAAACCAAAGTCTTTGGGTTCGGGGAAATATGGTTGCAAAGCTGAAACTTAAAGGTTGACGGAAGGGCACCACCAGGAGTGGAGCCTGCGGCTTAATTGACTCAACACGGGAAACCTCACCAGGCCCAGACACGGAAGGATTGACAGATTGAGAGCTCTTTCTCGATTCGGTGGGTGGTGGTGCATGGCCGTTCTTAGTTGGTGGAGCGATTTGTCTGGTTAATTCCGATAACGAACGAGACTCTGGCCTACTAAGTAGTCGCGGATCTCCAGAAAATGGTGTCAGTTCGCAACTTCTTCTTAGAGGATAAGCGGCAATTCTAGCCGCACGAGATTGAGCAATAACAGGTCTGTGATGCCCTTAGATGTTCTGGGCCGCAGCACTGAAGGGATCAAGGTTTTCCCCCTCCGAGAGGGGTAACCCGTTCAAAGCCTTTCTTGATAGGGATTGGGGCTTGCAATTGTTTCCCATGAACGAGAATTCCCAGTAAGTGCAAGTCATCAGCTTGCGCTGACTACGTCCCTGCCCTTTGTACACACCGCCCGTCGCTACTACCGATTGAATGATTTAGTGAGGCCTTCGGACTGGCGCTCTTGGATTGTCGGCCCCGTTGCCCGCGAGGGTTTTCTGGGGTCGTCGCCTCGAGCTGACGGAAAGATGTCCAAACTTGATCATTTAGAGGAAGTAAAAGTCGTAACAAGGTTTCCGTAGGTGAACCTGCGGAAGGATCATTAACAGAGAGAAAGAGAACGGGGCGCTCTTAAAACTACTACTACTCTCCTGATTTGGGCGGTCTCGGGCTCTGCTCTGGCAACTCCAGCAGCGAAAGAGGACAATCCCGGCCCCCGCACCAAAAATAGGTACCACCACGCTGTAGGTGGACCACACTCGGGCGAGAGCGCGAAGACCGGAGGAGGAGGACGGACGGGGCTTTGGACGGCTGCCCGTCCGTTCCTTACTACCGGCGAATAAGCCTCTTGACCCAAAAAGAGTGAAATTCAAGTGTCAAAAAACAACAACAAGCCGTCCGGCCAAACCCAAACCACAAACTTGGGCTATGTCTGTCAAACCCTTTCATTGAGACTCGACCTGTGATGGTTAGTCGCAAAAAGACCAAATGGCAAATACACAACTCTTAACGGGGGATCACTCGGCTCGTGGGTCGATGAAGACCGCAGCAAACTGCGTGTCGGTATGTGAATCGCAAGAATACCAGATACATCGACAAGTTGAACGCATATTGCGGCGGCATATATGAGCTTATCGCCGCCACTCCTCTACGGTGAATATACATCCATCGATTTGCTCTTGAGTTGATTGCCTGCTGACTGTCTCCCGACACGAGGTAACCGAACGAGCTTCGCCTTGAGGTTTAATCGCCCAGCGCCTTAGCGGCGTGCCATAAAAACAAACAAGCCTATCACTAGCAAGTCCATGGACTTGGCGCGCATTCAACCACAACAAAGCGACGGTTGTCGCCTACCATAAATAACTGGAATGGCGCTCTTTTGCCTGCTGTCCACAGAGACACGAATGGCCGTCGGCCGCTCATGGCTGATGCGGCACATGTTCTAAGAGGCACTCCATCCCACGAAGAGGAAACGAAACCGGGTCGGAAATCTTTTAAGTAAGCCCCGCCGGAATTTCGTCTATCACCTCGAAAAGAGTGCTTGGCATGCATTGCAGTGGAACCTAAATTGATGAGTGCGCCTGGGCCCGCAGTCTACCATGTAGTGGTGCAGGCAGAGAGATGAGAATGCTTGGGTGACGCCGTGCTCTTCCTCACGCGCTCCTCCACCCTCTCCCACGGTCAAACGCGGTGTGGGCGTTCTCTTTGAGAGTTCGCCACGAGTCCACGTCTATCTCATGACTGGGAGGGAGGCAGGGGGAGTTCTCTCTAAACGCGTTAAAGACGGTGTTGCGCCTCATAACGGCGCTCGCCGGGATAGAGCACTAGTTCTGCAGCCGGAAAGGCCGCTCACGCCAATTAATACTGCGACTCTTGCTCTCTTTCTCCGGATAAACAAGTGCCACTGCTGTGGCATGCGGGAACGGGGAAAGAGGTCAAAGTTTAAGCGGCAAAGGTGCGGCCGAGTAAGGGCGGAACACGAGCGTATATGCATTAAAACTGTGTGTGTATATGACTCTGCGAGAGATGTTCTGCTGGAACACTTTTCCTATTGGCTATTTACCACTCAATGAGAAGGAACGGAGTCAGGGGTGGGAGTGCCGGCGCCATGGCCGCTGGTACCCCCGCGACAAGCCCTCAAACCTTCCTGCCTGGTAATGTCGGTGGTGAAGAAAGTCGGTGGCAGAGCGTCTTCCGCTTCGTGGTTGGGGAACTTGTTCCCCCTAAGGATGATGAGACCACGAT